TGTAAATGGAGTACAATACTGCCAATATATGACAGAATTTTGCATAGCGTACTGGGGCTGGATTGATGTATGCGAAGTTTTGTTGGAATCGGTTCAGATTTAGATAAAGCTCCGATATATAGATTCCTCCGATTTTATGCCAATGTTTGTGCAATTGGGAGAAAATTTTGCGTCATGAAATTGCTGCAGGTTGACGTCCGTGGTTCAGATATAAAATAGATCACAAATATCATTAGTCCCATTTTATGTAAATGGTGCACCATAGATCCTGTGCTATTTGCACGATATTTTGTTGTTGAAATCGGTTCAGATGTAGATATAGCTCCTTATATATTTTTCTCCGATTTTATGCAAATGGAATAGCCTACGTCTGTTCGTTTTACATGAAATATTGCATAGCGTATTGGATTGCAGACGTTTCAGGTTTAAATATAGTTTCCATACATATTTTGATCTAATTTCATCAAAATGATATACCAAATAACTGAAGTCTGTTTGTTAGGACGAATTAGTGCACCTAGCATAACGTGTATTGAATTTTGGATTGAGATAAATTTTGGATAGCGCACTGTATTGCAGCATATCAAATGTTTATTTAATATATAATATTCAATCATGAAATAAATACACCACGATTCAATCATGAAAAAATTCCACGCACATTTCAAAATATGTCATGAGCATGTCAGTTTAAATCTTAGATGAAATTTGATGAAATTTTCTGTACAGAATTAGTTACCTATTTCATACATTCGGCCTTTCTGTATTTATGTTGGTATATTCATGGAATCTTCTTAGGGTGTATCAAGTTACCGTCAAACATTCGCCACTCAAACTCAACCATCTCTTAAAGTTAAATGACCTCTGGGGTGATGCATTATTTGTTTGCTGGTTTTGAAAATATATCAATTTCAGTCTCGCCACAAACAAAACTCAATTTAATTATATTAAAATGGATTATTTCTTAATTTTATTAATTAATAGTGTCATTTATTGCATAAAACCTAATGTCTAAAGAAACAAAAGCAATTCATCAGAGGATTATTAAGTGTAGCTCTGACAAATTCATTTGAATACTATATACGACGCCTGATCGAAAAAGAATCGTTGAGGTCTGATTATTTTTTCGAAGTCAAAATGTACGTCATAAGAGCAAAATCTCGTCATTTTACCTCGTGTAAAATTTGTGATTTTTTGGTTTATAATTATGACCTCTAGAGAGAATTATATTCTAGCATTATGGGAACAGACCATATGTATGGCCTGGAGCAAACACATTGTTTGGTGCCCAATTTGCATGAACTCAAATAAAAATATACATCCGAACAAATTTTAATATCTATTCACAAATTCACCATGTGCACCATTTCAATGAAAATATATGTGTAAGCTATTCAAATCAATTTATAGCTATATCAATTTCATTTCATTATTCGTGGAATAAATTAAACTGGATGGTAATTTATTTAAACACTCCCTTTTAGTCCGACGCCTAAACATATTTCCATGATATATAAATAACATGATGCTTACAAATGATAACCGATTCACTATGACACGAACGTCACAAAACAAATAAATATACCATACCAACACTTCAATATATTCATCAAATGTTAAAATAATGAATACAATTTGTTCTTATATTTGTCTTTTCAATATCATTACTATATCTACATTATTGTTATTGTATCTACTTTGCATTTCGTCACATTTTCCAACAGTCACTCGGCGGACATCAGGCTGTCGCTACGTGACAAGAAAATTTCCCTACTCATGTCATTGACATTAGATGGGAGGACATGACCGTGGATATCATTATTCATTAAAAATTTATGTTTTTTTCTGTGTGTCTATTACTCAGATTTAAAATCGATTGAAACCTGTAGGTCGATTCAGTAACTTATAACGATCCGATAATCGACAATTTTGTCTACACATAAAATCGTTTGCAGTAACGAACATGTTATTCTGTAAAAATGTAGACAAATTGTCGATAAACTTTCAAAAAGCTTTTAATTTGGAACATTTTGAAAACAACAGACATAAAAATTTTGAACAAAACAAAGCATGTTCAATATTGAAGAATATTTGTCGATAAGTTAACTTCGAATATTTTGGTGTTGTTTATTAACAACATTTTTAACAATTGTGGTTAAAAATTGTTAAAGAATATTGTTTATTTTGTCGTTATAATATTTTATCGATTTGAGAATTGGTTAAATTTGATAGTGATAGGACTATTTTAACAACATTCGATATTATTTAATTTTCTTTTGTTATTGTAAAAACAACAAAACAAATGAAATTGTTGTAAAATAAACAATATCGAATATTGAAAATTACAGAATAGGCAAACTGATATCTTAAAAAACATTACAAAATATCATATCAACCTAACAAAGCAAGAACATTGTGCTTCCTAATTCCAAGAATTGCAATACAAATACAAGCTCTGTAGGTCGATTCAGTAACTTATAACGATCCGACAGTCGACAATTTTGTCTACACATAAAATCGTTTGCAGTAACGAAAATATTATTCTGTAAATATGTAGACAGATTTTCGATAAACTTTCAAAAAGCTTTTAATTTTGAATATTTTGAAAACAAAATACATACAAACTTTGAACAAAACAAGGCATGTTCAATATTGAAGAAAATTTGTCGATAAGTTAACTTCGAATTTTTTGGTGTTGTTTATTAACAATATTTTTAACAATTATTGTTAAAATCTGTTATAGAATTGAAATATTGTTTATTTCGTCGTTATTATATTTTATCGATTTGAGAATAGTTTAAATTTGATAGTGAATCGACCCACTGAACCCTTTTTGTGTTACATCGATTGTTAGAAATTCAACTTAATAGAATTCCTATAACACTTCCAATCCGATATTTAATATTTCAAGAAACTAATGCCATTGTTATTGAGATAGTTAAATGTATTGTTCGTTGCGTAATTTGTCTGAACAAATTTTTATTGTAATAATTGCACTTTCAATGGTTCTAATTCATCTGAGACCATCACAATAACCACGGAAATTTTTTAATTAAAGAAAAAAATCACTGAATATTTCCTGCATTCTTACAACAAAAAATTAAACCAGTAAAGTCTGACTGGGCCGACTATATGATACTCTTCATCACTTTGGGTATTGAGCATATGTATCCTTACAATTGCATGTCAATGTTCCCTCCAAGGAACATACGCATGTCTTTCTGCAACCTATGATAAATTTAATTTCATTTGGGCAGATTTAGAGCCGTCTCCGTACCATGGGACAATTTTATGGAGAACGATTTATAGCAAAATTGATACACGCTATTCGATACTGTTACGAATTTCAATTCATTAGGACCCGTTCGAAATACATTTGGAAACAACGGCTGCATCTGCACCAATTTCAACAAAACGCAATAACGTCATTCAAGTCAAATTGAGACTTGAATGACGTATTTGTAATGTTGTTCAAAATTTAGTGTTAATCGGATAAACTTTAGGAGTTTGGTGCACCATTTATTTAATCGGACGAATATATATGTATATGTGGGAGATATATGCTCAATTCAGAACGCTATGCCAAATTGCGTTCAAATCGAAAGTTATAATATATATGGGAGCTACATCTAAATCTAAACCGATTTGCACGAAATTTAACACATATCTTTCTAGACTTAATTCAGTTCGATATCCAAAATTTCGTGCAAATCGAAGGATATATAGGGACTTTGGTGCAATATTTACCTAAAATCAGACGAAAAAACATATGGAAGCTATATGTAAATCTGAAATGATTTTCACGAAATTGAACACACATCGTTCTAGACCTTATTCAGTACGCTATGCCGAATTCGCTGCAAATCGAAAGATATATAGGTACTTTAGTGCACTATTTACCTAAAATCGGACGAAAATATATATGGGAGCTATATCTAAATCTGAACCGATTTTTCCCAATTTTAATAGGGTTGGTCCTTGGGCTAAAGGAATGAGCTCTGCCTAATTTCAACTAATTCGGATTATAAATGCGACCTGTACTTTGTTTACAATTTAACATGGACAAAATCGACTTAAAATGTGATTCTATGCTCAAAAGGAACTATGTGTCTATTTTTTTTCCTTTTGCCTGTTACAAACATATGCACAAAGACATAATACCCTATACCACAGTGTGGTAAAGGGTACAAAAATTACAATGGCACAGCGAAAACATATGCATTCAACTACATTCGGTCAATAATTAAAAAATATAACCAAAGTTGTTGAAGCTGCGGAAAACAAGGTCGCCATGAAATAATGAAATTATGGGTCGGACAAAATTTAAACTGAGATTTTAAATTTAAATTTTAAAATTGTCCCGTATTCAAAACTTAGTACACTAAATTATAAAACACTGTATTATAAATTTATTTTCTGTATTTTCAGATCCTTCTCGGTCGCTAAACGATATACACGGAATATAAATTTAAATGTTTAATGCAAGCTTAAAAAAATATTTTACTCTACAAACTTAAACGAAAATCTCCAATAAACTGCAAATGAATTATGCGGAGTTCAAGTATTCTCTAACCCAGAACAACAAATAACGAACATAACGGAATTCATTGTTCTGACTTTTTGCAAAAATGTTTAATGTTATAACGACCACCATGGGCTCAAATGCTGGAAATGACACAGTAGTTTGGAATCCACAACCGAATGTTACACTTTTGAGCACACTTATGAATACCATACATTCCAACGACATATTTTCAACAGTCACATCTGCCACCCCACCACCTGTATCGGTGACCTCAATGGACTACAACAATGACCATTTTACCACAGCACCTGCCCTCACCAGCACACACCAGTTTATGCAAAATAGCAATAACTTAAGTTCTGCTGCGACGGCAGCGATGACAGCAGCGGCCAGTATAGTTAATACTACCATTGCGACGCTCAACACCTCAGCAACAGCGTTGGCCACAAATTTGAGTACCAACGAAATTGGTGGCATCATGAATGCCACCGAAACCCCATATGTACCGTATGTAATGCGACCAGAAACCTACATTGTTCCAGTGCTCTTTGCTTTCATCTTCATTGTCGGTGTCCTGGGCAACGGTACACTTATTATTGTCTTCTTAACGGTGCGTCAAATGAGAAATGTGCCCAACACGTAAGTATTAAAATTTCAGATGTGGTAATTTTAATACAAAGCCTCTTTTAGTACTTTAACAAATACATAGTATAATCCTCCATACAATTAAACTCCTACATAGTTTCTAAGAATATTATGTCCCACGATATTTCCTTCATCACAATACAATCTGGGAATAAAGCACAGGCTTGTGGTTAATTTAAAGTTAAATCGAATTTATACATTCTACTTTTGTAGCTGCTAGCCCCCAAAACCAGTGGGAACATAGAGAAAATTTAAAATAGTAGGAACACTTTTCCATGCGAACGGAATTACAAAAACTTCTATTTGAGGCCGTCATAAATTGATGTGATGTTTCGATGTAAGCTAGCATATAAACTTTAAATTGTGGTAAAATGTTTCGCATGAAATACACCACGACCACAATCACATCATAGAACATTGACATGAAAGATATTCGAAAAGAGACTGTCATCATCTGTAAAAAACAAATGTCAAAATTTATAGACAGTTATAGGAAAACTATTTGAACTTTTTGCTACTACTACATTTTCTACGAATATCTCAATTCATGACAGCTCGGCAGCACAGTGGGATAAAACGCAATTATAGATGTAGAAGAAAAAATGTTGAATGGAGGTATGAAACATTAGAACAGTGTTAAATTATAGTGTTGGCTGCTTTTAATGGCATAACAAATAATTCGATATAATTAGTCAGAACGGAGTAACGGTGCATTTATTATGGCTGCTGTTTACCACGTTTGCAATGAAAATTGTCAGCTATAAAATTCTGATATTATGTAATTAAATTAAATTTTAATTTAGATTTGACTAATTATTCGTAATGCTAATTTTAAAATATTTTTGTAATAAAAAAATAGGTTTAATAAAAAAATAGGTTAAATGACACCGAGGGACAGTGATGTTTTTAATTTCTATATTTTTTGTCTCTAATAAGTTGAGACATTTTTCTACGACTTTTTGCGATGCCTGGAGATTTTCCAAATTTAAGGGAATATATAAATTTTACGCACGAGTTCTTTTTAATGCTTCACTCTAAAAATAACTGATCAGAAATCATCAAATCATATGATATTCTGTAACCAATTCCAGGGTTACAGAATATCATATTAGAAAATATTAATTGAAAAAATCCGGCCTAGTGGAACAATAAATAAAAAAGCGAAATTTCTCTTTAAAATATGTATATCAGTACCAAAATACCGAAAGTTGGGCGGAACATTTATATAGTAGGTGTTAACGCCAAGGTTAACTATGCTGGTCACCCTATTTTCTATTTTACACTGGTTGTTTTCTTTTTTCTCATTGTCAATAAAAACACTTCTATTCTAACCAGCAAACACACCTGTCAGTGGTAAGATTCGTTTCCAAATTCTATACCAAATGTTGTTCAATAAAATTCCACCATTTGGAAAATTCCTATTCTAAAACCCTTGTTTTTCTTTCTTTGGTTTTTTCATAACTATTCCGAGGAGAAATTATTCAAGAGAATATACTCCAAAACCCCAAAATGCCTAATTATATACTTTACGGTCTGTTTGCAATATCAAAGTAATAGCAATGACCGTGCACATTTTCAAAGCTCTCTTTTAAGTCGTGGAATGAAAAATTTAAGTCGTAAGTCGCAAAAAATTAAAAAATAAATAAATTTACCAAATATATTCATAAATAAAGTAAAATTTGCATTTATATTACTATTCTTATAAAATTATAATAATAAACATACAATAGATTGACTTTATTTTTTTGGATTTATCCCACTGTGCGCACTACATTTTGACATATTGTTTGTAGCTATTGAACTATGTGTCGTATACGTTATGTTGCAATTACGTATACTCAACGGTGGTAAATCCGTCCGTCTGGCTGGCTGGTGCGCACGATCTCATCCAAACTTTGCACATCTTAACATTTATTCCAAACTTAGTTTAAGATCGAACATTGTGAATATCGGTTCACTCCTCACCCATTAAGAGCTTAAAGTTAAACCGTATCATGATCTTTGGCGTTTTTCGAACTACATCAACGTTTGGTTGCATGTATGGTTATGTTGAATATCTTATTCGTCGTTCGTTGCATTGTGCAAATGTGTTAGGTAGAAAATACACTGTACAATATTACATGATTTAATATGAATTTTATGAAACTATTTACAACATGCATAGTGGTTGTTTACATTTTTCGAATTTTGCAGATATATTTTCTCTTTGGCTTTGGCAGATTTACTAGTGATTGTTACAACAGTTCCACTAACATCAACAGTTTACACTGTGGATTCATGGCCTTGGGGCAGTTTACTATGTACAATGTCGGAGTTTTTTAAAGATGTATCCATTGGTGTATCTGTCTTTACACTGACGGCTTTGTCGGGCGATCGCTACTTTGCCATTGTTGATCCCTTGAGGAAATTTCATGCTCACGGTAAGCATACAACTAAATACAGGTTTGCATTTAAAATTTTCTGAATTAATTTTTTAATCTCAACCCACACGGACAAAACAAACACATTAAGCAGGCGGAAAGCGAGCAACACGCATGACAATAGCCATTGCCTTATCAATATGGCTTTTAGCCATAATCTGCGGTCTGCCGGCATTAATTGGAACATACATTAAGGTAAGATAATGTAAACTAAAATATATAAAATAATTTTTAAATTTAGTTCTATAAATTATCCTCATACCTCATCGCCTAACCGTAAATGAATGTCATTTTATTGCAGGTAGTCGTTGTTAATAGCAACAAATCGTTTTCTCTGTGCTATCCATTTCCCGAGGAATGGGGCTGGGAGTATGCCAAACTGATGGTATTGCTGCGTTTCCTAGTCTATTATGCCATACCACTGGTTATAATTGGAGTTTTTTATATCCTGATAGCACGACATCTAATGTATGCGGCAAATGTTCCTGGCGAAATGCAAGGCGCTGTTCGGCAGGTAAATATTTGCTACATTGGCTTTGGTGAGGGAGGCCGTATTATTCGGCAACAAGTTGTATCAGCCTGGAGGTTACCACCCATCACATTATTAATCATTCTTTATACACATGCATATATACCCAGCACAATTATTTGCTATCTTTGTATACCATTCTCTTTCTAAATTTAAATGTGGAGAAAATGAATAATATATATTTTAATATTAAATGAGCTGGCATTTAAAAAAGAACAACACCAAAGGGGAAGAGATTGTGCGTAAATTGGCACAAGTTATGAATTATGTAAAATAATATACTTACATACAGCAGGAGGGCAGCGTTTAAATGATCTCAGTTTTCAAATCAAATATGAATAAAACATTAAGAAACAATTTTAAATTCCGCGGGCGGAACCTTTTTTACAACCTTTATCATAGATAAACTGACATTTATTTATTATTTTCAAACCTTTGTTACATGCTCCCAATATTATCCTAATGAGATGAAATTTGATACGGTTAATTTAATTGTCACAAGGTCAGACTCTATTGAAATAGGTGAATATCGGTTCAGATTTAGATATACTCGTAGCTCCGATATATATTTTCGCCCGACTTTTAGCAAATGGTCCACCAAAGCCTAACGGTTGCCAAGTTTTATTGAAATCAGTTCAGATTAGATATAGCTCTCATATATTTTTTCGTCCGATTTTAGGTGAATGGTTCAAATTATGCACAACGTCCTAAGATTAGTATAGCCTAGCATGTGTTAATTTCTGTTGAAATTGGTTATAATAAATCTCATAAGTCTTTTAGGTTGTTTCAGCTTGAAAATAACCTCAAATATGCACCGAAACATATTAATGATTGGTTGGGGGAGTCAAAAATCAGGATTTAAATTCAAATTCCGAAACAGACAAACAAAACTTCTTCCCAAAGGTTCAGAATTAGAGGAAAAGTACATCCAAGCATCAAATTGAGCGAATTTATAGTGAAAATAGTGATTACGATGTCGATTACTAGCTTATATAGCTCCCATATATATTTTCGTCCTATTAAATGTAAATGGAGCACCAAAGTCCCTATTTATTTTTCGATTTGCACGAAATTTGGCACAGCGTAATGAATAAGATCTAGAAAGTTTCCTGAAATGAAAAATTTAGTATCGGTTGCAGAATGACATGTTTATGGATCCAATTTCATTTTACTGGTCCTTTAAAAATGCGACGTCTGTTAGGATTCATCTGTTGAATATACCCAAAGTGGTGCAGGGTATCATATAGTCGGCGCGTCCGACTTTACTACTTTCCTTACTGGTTTTTGGGTTTTAAAAGTGAATAAATTACGTAATTATTTTTGAAAAAATCACGATAAGTTTAGTTTTTATAAAGTTTGAGGTAATTTATTCAGTTTGCAATTTTAGTTGAATTAGTTTTGGTCAACAGTATATATCTTTATCCAATTCTATGTAAATGGTGCGTCATGTACCCAATGAATAGAATATCGTGTTTTTCCCATGACTTCTAGTTAATTGTGCACCAATTAATGAACTGGTGTCGAGTTGAGATCCAATTGTGAACAGCATGCTGTATCATAATGAATAGTTTGATATAAATCTATTTACATAATTGTGCCCCATTGTACAAACACGACTCTAAATCAATCCTAATGAAATGGAATTTGGCATAGGTTGCCGAGGAAGTGTGTATGGATTTAAGTCGGCTCATATATAGATACATATCACATTTTTAATTTAGTTCAAATTCATGTCAATGGTACTTCAAAAATGCGACGTCTGTAAGGATGTATCTTTTGAATATAACCAATGTAGTAAAGAGTATCATATAGTCGGCCTCGTCGACTTACTGGTTTATACTTTCCTTACTATTTTATAAAGGGTATATAAATCGAAAAAAATTATTAGGAGCCATATCTAAATCAGAACGAAACTTAACACAAGCCATTTTTGATCCAAGTCAGCTAATTTTTACATTACTTACTTAGCTGGCTTGTTACAGAACGTTTGTTCCATAAGCCGAACTTAAAAAGGATTTCCAAGCACGTCGGTCTTGTGCGCACCAATTTAGAAGACTACGTAGTCGCTGCAGCTCAGTAAGTCTGACTATGTCGATGTCTGCGTACAAATTATAGAGCTCGTGGTTCTTTCGAAGAATTTTTCTTTCAAAAACCCCAAGAGCTGCCCGTCTTGTAAAGTGTGAGTTTGGTCTGGCGGGAGGTGGCCTTGCTTCTAAACTGCTTACTTAGATCATAGTAGGCTCTGTTGGCCATCACAATCCTTCTCCGAATTTCAAAACTGATATCATTCGTTTTATTTATTACGGTACCAAGGTATATAAAGTCTTTAACTACCTCGAAGCTGTAGTTCTCAAGTTCCACAGTTGGTCCGAGTCTACTGGACGTCTTGCGCCTTGATACCATCAGCTTGGTCTTTTCGCCGTTTACTACCAGACCCACTTTGGCAAACTCCTTTTTAATTTGTTAAAAGGTGGCTGTTACCGCTCGCAATGTTCGACCCATTATATCAATGTCATCGGCGTAGGCGAGTAACATGTGTTGTTTGGTGTACAGAGTGTTATTTCCTGCTGACCTTTTCCAGCAGGATGTTAAAAAGATCACACGACAAACAGTCACCTTGTCTGAATCCTCGTTTGGTATTGAAGGGCTCAGATAGGTCCTTTCCTTCTTTAGCTGCTGTACCACTTAAAGTTATCCTGCATAGCCGTATTAATTTTGCAGGAATGCCGAACGTAGACATGGCTTTAAACACCTCTGAACGGATAGGGCTGTCGAATGCGGCTTTATAGTCGACAAATAGGTGGTATGTGTCGATGTGTTTTTCGTGGGTCTTTTCCAGGATTTGGCGCAGAGTGAAAATCTGATCAATTGTGGATTTGCCAGGTCTGAAGCCGCATTGGTATGGTCCTATGGTGTCATTGACCATTGGCTTCAGTCGTTCTCACAGCACACTGGATAGCACTTTATATGCGATGGGAAGGAGACTTATTCCCCTATAGTTGGCACATATCGTCTTGTCTCCTTTTTTGTGCACGGGACACAGGATGCTGAGGTTCCAATCATTGGGCATGCATTCATATAGCCAAATTGCTGCTTTGTTGTTCTTGAGCCGATTAATTGCTTTTATGATATCATCTTGGCTAGGTGGTATACACTCTATACCATCATCTCTTATTGGTTCTGGGGTATCTTCTTCAACGCCACTATTTGATACCAGAAGCTTTTCAAAATGCTCCTTCCAGATCCTCAACACGCTGTCTGTCACCAGGTTCCCTTCTTCATCTCTACAGGAGGATGTGCCTGCACCAAAGCCATCGGTTTGGTGTTTTACTGGTTGGTAAAATTTCCGGACTTCATTCTGACTCCTGTACATCTCGATTTGCTCACGCCAACGTTTTTCTTGTTCTTTCTTCTTTTTTCTGAGTATTATTACGACACTCCTGATCGTGCCATGGGTTTTTGGTGGTGGTTTTTGGTACCCAAGTGTTGCTTTTGCTGCAGTTTGTAGTGAGTGGGCAATTCTTTGCCATTGTGCTTTTATACTATTATCGGGACAAGAAGTGCTTCTTCAAGCAGATGGGTAAGTTGAGCGGAGTAGGTCTCTGATACCTGTTGTGTTTGCAGCTTTTCGACGTCGAGTTTCTGTGTCGTGTTGATCGCACCTTTGCTGCTACAATAAGACGGGTGCGCACCTTGGCTGCCACAAGGTAATAGTCCGAAACGATATTCGCTCCTCGGATCGATCGGACGTCTAAAACACTGGATGAATGCCTTCCGTCTATCACAATATGATCAATTTGATTTCTCGTTGCTTGGTCAGGAGAGATCCAGGTGGCCTTGTGTATATTGAGATGCTTGAATCTGCTGCTGCTAACTACCATGTTTTTTGCTGCCGCGAAGTCATGAAGGCTGAATTTTCCGACGGTGGGGCCAAAGATATTTTCCCTTCCAATTTTTGTACTAAAATCTCCTAGCAGAACCTTAATGTCATGACCAGGGCAACGGTCGTATGCTGTTTGTAGGCGCTCGTAAAATATGTCTTTGGTATGTTCATCCTTATCTTTGGTCGGGGCATGGGCGCAAATGAGACTGATGTAGAAGAACTTCGCTTTTATACCGATTATAGTAATTCGCTCATCAACTGGAGTGAATCTGGAGACGAGGTCTTTTATTCTCATGTTGACCATAAATCCGCAGCCAAATTCATGTCTCGTTTCATGGCAGCTATAATACAGGGCGTAATCGTCTGATTTACTTACGCCTGTCCCTTTCCATCGCATCGCCTGTTCTGTACAACGTGCGCACATTCCAAGTGCAGATTCGCACATCGTCGTCCTTTATACGTTTGCGGGGGTAGTCAACATTAGGGGGGTTGGTTTTCTTTTTCTTAGCTTTTTCATAGTAGGTTGGGTTTTCCGAGAGTGGGCAACTAACCCGACGCCTCAACCCATTTTTTATAGTTCTTATGGGTGAACTCGCGGCACATATTAGCCCGCTATTTCATCGGTGATGAGAATAGTTTGTTTTTATACCCTCCACCATAAGGTGGATTGTACAGATTCTTATAATACCTTCGTTTTAATCAAATCAGACTTAAAGTAATATTACACTTACTTAAATTCTGATTTGTACTCAATATCTAAATTTGTACTCAATATCTAAAATTTGATGTTAATGAGCGAGTCATGTTTCTATTTTTGTCATCTAAAGTTTCGGTGGATATAAGTTTAAGAATTATTAAATTCGTGGAAAATAAATTTAAATGCACATATAAGTTAGACCTTCGGTTATAATTCAATTTCTCCCAATATATTTATGTCTTCCATATAACGGTAGCGCAATATAAAGCTAGTTTTTGTAACCTCCACGATTTAAAATACAACTTTGAAATTTGGACATACATTTCTACTACTTATAAGATATTTGATATTGAAAATGTTCAACAGAATTGCTTCTAATTTAATATAATTTAATAAATAATATTAATATTGACTTAACTCTTTGATGCTGTGGGGGATTTGGACACGTTTTTAAATCTAATCGGCTGTAATTTGGTAGAATGAATCCTACAAAAATTATCTATATTGGTCCACTCTTTGAGGTAGCCCCCATCTAACGTTACTCAAAATATTTGATATTTAGGAGAGTTTGTTCCAGTGTTTCAACCAATGTGACTGTAATTTTTTATTTTGGATGATCAAAATCTCTTTACCAAAAATTATCCCCCATTGTTTGGTATTTTCTCATGTGATGTCAAATCGTCCTTCCAAAAATTAATAAGAAAAATTACCATAATGGGTTATTGAATGGTAACACACATTTTTGAGGCCTAACGTATTTAAAGGGAGCCATACATATTTCCCGTTTAATTATCGGTATGTTGAAGTTCTTACCCCCTTTTGCAGCCTGTGTGTCTATAATTTTGAAGATTATTGTTAAGGAGCATGGACAACCTACTACCTAATAGTGTTGTAACATTGTACCCTTATAAATGTCCCGACAGATTTAACAAATATACATATGAAAAGGTATGAAGAGTTCGATCTTAACAACACATTTACATGTTATTAGATCTCCTAATTTAATTTATCGGTAGTTGACATACGAATCATGTTTTTTGATATGAACTTAATGATAGAATTTTGCACAGAAAATATCATCGTACATATATTAGTTTTCTCTATGATAGATATTATTGGTATCGGTTATATGCGGTGTTAAGTTTATAAGTTCAAAGATACTAACCAACGAATAGGCAAATAACCACCTGATTTCCCGTGCCATAGCAACATTTTAGGTACTTTATGGAACAAAATGTCCCTATGGAACTATTTTTATTATTTTAAGAAAATGTCTTAGGGCATAGATCTTTGAGTCATAACTCTATTCCGGATGTCTTCTGATTTTCATCCTTGCATTTGTGCGAAATTTACAGACATTCTATGGAAAACTTGTAAATTCAATGATACTTCTCAATTATTTTTTGAATTCTCACAAAAATTTTTTCAATACAATGTCAATCCAATTGAAAAAAAAATCAATTTTTTCAATAATTGACAAATGAAGGCTTAAATGAATGAATCGCTACCAATTTTCGCCTAAAATATCTCAAAATAACAACTACGACGTGGTGCAATCATAACAGCTCGATACTAATTTCGTGGAAATGCAAATAATCTTCATAATATTTTTTCGTAAATTTTTCGCGGTTTTCGATTTTTTATCTCACCTTTTAAACCTTCCCTGAAGCTCCACGAACATTTTAAGACTAAGATATGAAGAATCCGTTCAGCCGGTCTCGAGTTTTAGCGAGACTAACGAACAGCAATTCATTTTTATATACAGTGAGTGTAATAAGTATTTTGCCTCAATAAAAATTTGACAAAATTCTAATATATACGCCTAAACCCTGCATACTAAAGATGTAAAATGAATTATGTATGATGGGATATGTTTGTGGACATATTTAGATCTTATTTCTGCAAGAATCACGGCGAAAGATCTATTGGCCTCGAAGATATCGGCCAAAATCTATATCAACCCAAAAATGATTATCACAAAAAAGTATTTTGCTTTTTATTATTATTTTTGAAAAAATCATTATATAACACACGCAAGATAGAAGATAGATAGATATATAGACACTAGAGCACCGACTTGCGTCGTTAATGGGGACCGGAGAATCGGGACGCAACTCAAAACGACACAAATTGAATCATCTTTTTCTATACGTATACAAAATGCACTCAAATTTAATTTACTAGGGAAAATGTGCCCATGATTTTGAAAGGGGTATAAGTCAAAATTTTTAGAAATCTACTTTATCAGCTTTTACTTGTCAAATCTTAATAAAATAATATAATCTGAAGAAAGTAGCAGCATGCCATGCAAATTAAGTCATTAAAATGCATTTATTTTTTAGTTGTTAACTGAAATACAAATATTGTTGGTTTTGATAGTGGTATAAGTCAGTGTGTTCACAAAGTAATTTTGTCATGTCTTCAGATAGTGGTTCAGGTAGGATGAAGAAAAACTTTTAATGTGAAAACCTACTACTTAAAGTTAATTGTAGACATTTTACGGCGAATAAATGGAAGTAGTGCTCCCAAGAAATGGAAACGAATAAGAATGATATCGTCTTCAGATGAATCAGATGCAGAACCCATACAAATGGAAGAGCGCAAAATTAAATCTAGAAAGAGTACACGCAAATATAAGAAAAATGAAGAGAAATAGTGGAGAGGAATATGAAATAAAAAATTCTAAGCGCGTGAGTGCTAAACTATTCGAAAACAAAGATTGTCTTTGTTCCAAAAAGTGTTTAAGGGGACCCCCCCCCCATTCTCGGGGTCAAAATTTTTGTTGATTTAATTCGAATCTGCACTAATTAAAGAATGTCCCTACAAAATTTCAAGTGAAAATCTCAAGAACTCTTGAAGATATAGCCGATTTATTGTGTCAGCATCAAGTGACGGCTAAAGGGCTTCTCAAACTTTAAACGCGTTTTTCTCAAAACGAATGGCGGGCACGATAACTCAAAAACTAGTAATCCAATCGGTTTCAAATTTTGACACGTTTCTCTGGGAGTGTGTAGCTCTCGTATGAACTAGGATAAAGCCAATCGGTGAAGATCTTCCTTATTTTTTAACTTAGTTTGTGGTAAAAAATAGGCGATTTTCCATAAAAAATTTTTCAAAGTTCCGCCATTTTGTTAATTGTTGTGCGAAGTCAATAATCCTAGTTCATACGAGAGCCAGACATGTCCTCTTTCTAACACAGTTGGAATTTTCGGATTCCGATGTTCCAGTGAGGAGTTATCATGCCCGCCATCGAAAATAAGGACTTTTCTTTGAACCCAAAAAACAACAACAAAACAACAACAAAAAATTTTGGTAAATTATTTTTCTTCCTTTTTAAATCTTCAAATACATATGTGCCAAGTTACAAACCTTAACAAGCATTGGTATTCATTTACCACCCCATTTAAAATCTTAAAAATAAAAAATCGAGAATGGGGGGGGGTTCCCTTAAATGGAATCGGATACGAAGACAGGAAAGCTAATTTTGATTATTTTTGGAAATTAGCAAATTTCGAAAAACAGAATCTGTTTCTGAGTGGTTTGATTACAAAACAATCAATAAAACAAAAACGCCCCAGAAATCACAAAGGATATATGAGAAAATGGAGTCTTAAGTTTCATCTAATCTAAGTTTTAGTTCGGAAGTTTCTGTTTGCAAAACATTTTTTTTTTTTTTGGATACTTTCAAAATATCTAACGGAAGATTAAGCCGTGCTTTAAATTCAGAAACACCTGGAATGGATGGTCGTGGCAAAATGGCTAGTTCATCAAGAAAACCAGTAAGGAAAGTAGTAAAGTCGGACGGGCCGACTATATGATACCCTTCACCACTATGGGTATATTAAACAGGACTATTAACATGAAATTGGATGAAATAAAATATGTGATATTTATTTAAATGTGAATCTACCTAGATCTATCCTTAAAGTGTGTAAATCGACTTAACAGAAATATAAATAGGTCATACGTTGGGCTATGTCTGTACTTCTAGAAAACGCAAATATATAATTTTATGCTCAATTTTGTACGATGTGCAAACTTTGATGTCAATCTTACTAACATGATTAGTTTGATGCCCAATTTACTTGAAATCGGGCGAAAATATATATGGTGCGTCAATTACTTAA